CCACCGGAGTGGAAAGCGTTTTCCGCTACGTTGTACCCATGCTTCTGTTGGTCGTGCTGAATACGCTGGTCATACGCAAGTTGCATCGATTGGGTATGATCCGATTCCAATCGACTAACAATTTAAACTCCTGTTTGGACAGTCTGACCGATGTGTCCGAACGCGTTGGGCACGTCACACACACGGTAATTAGTGTGCAAATGAAAATTTTTCTCAACGCAATCATACTGATGATCGAGATCACCGCACTGGAAGCGGTCGCGATCACTTTGTTTGTATTGGACTTCTACGGTACGGTGAATTTCAGCGAAAATTCTCTGGCTCGTCTCTACTACTACGTGCTGGTTTGCTTATGTGACAGTTTTAATCCGTGCGTGGAAGTGGCGACCATTCGGTGTTTGAGACAGACCATGCTCAGGCATTTACACCTCTGCACGTCCGTGTGCTCGGGGAGAATGAAAACGCGGCACCCCTCGTTGTCCAGCTCATGCCAAGCAGAATAAACCAATCCATCAAGGAATGAACTGGATCATTCCAGGCGATTAGACCACGAATCATGGAAAAAGCTTTTTCTATTGCTGATTATATGGTTTTTGCATTTTCTTAAAACCTACGGATTGTATTGATGATGAGAAAGAATCCAAATGGAACTTGAACTTGTAATACTTGATCGAGTTCTCACTTAGACTAATTTGGGCCTACCGATTGACACAGTTAATTGAATAATTGTGGATCAGTCTGAACAAGTATTATTAAAAGATAAGAGGAATCTCGGTAAGTAAATCCTTTTTGATGGGAAATGTTTGTGATGAAAGAATAGGTTTTGTTGGCACAGCTGCTTCTTTCTCATTTTTGTATGTTTGATGGTGCACTCTTTGTTTGGATTCGTACCCTGAACTTTCAGAACGAAAGCTAAAAAGAAAACATACCAGAACTTTAGGTCAATCGATTCCAAACACAATGAGATCCAGTAGAATTGTTGCATTCCAGTGGCAGTAAATGAACAATTCAAGCGTTTGGCGTATTCACTAGAATGGGATTATTTCTCAGCTGTAAGCTTCATGAAATATTTAATCATCAAACGCTATACTAAGCGAGAAATGAAGCTATAGGAAAATCGAGATAAAAACACTCAGGCAGGAAAGAATAACAAATTTTGATCAGTTACGCGATCCCGTAAACTGGGCGCTTACTGAAGGCCGTAGTTCGAAACATTTGGTTGAATAAAGTTTGATCGACTGACGGAAAGCAGTTGTCCGAACATATCAAAGCTTGTTCCCGGATGCTGAAGTGGACAGGGCTGCGGTTTATGAGCGGGATGAAGTGGGTATTAAATACAGAGCGGTTTGACCGAAATTATGACAGCACTGGAAGTGTTTTGTCACAATATGCTCAAATAAATCAGAGTTTAGGATTCAACTGGCCAGGAACAATGTGTCCGTGGATCCACANTCCACAAATGATTCGATCGAGGCCGATTGCTCAGGATTGGTCTATTAAATGGGAGTAGAGCGCAACTGTGTACAAAGCTAGGAGGGATAGAATAAGTGAAATGCGGATAACATAGATTTGATACGAATCACAAAGAATATCAGGAGATTAATTCGGTAATTTTCATCAGAAACAAAAGATTACGTGAAATTCGAGGAAAAACAAAGTATTTCATATTGCGAACCATGAAGATGCAGCAATTATCAACGATCAATTCAGAATGAAAGATTTTGAACATTTTGATTTACGTAGATGAAAAATTTTCGTCCGAATTGGAACCATTTGCGACAACATTACGATTGTATGGAGTGACGGGTAGATCATAAATGTAAAACTTAACACTGATGGGGAAAAATGGAACTCAAATGCCTCTTTCAGAGTTTAAATAAAACGGTTTAGATTAAAAATCAATGGGACAGGAGAATCGATATTTACCGATAAAGTAGTTTATGACCCGTGATAGCACCGGAAAAGGTAGTACATCACCTTGCAGCAAAACAATGTAACGAGTAACTTCTGATGCTGTTCAATAATAATATTATCAATATAATATTATCAAGAAAATATTTTCAAATTGCTTTGCCGGCAGGATTAAGAGGAAAAAGAACTGAATCAGTGAGATGAACACTACGCCCAAAGTAGACAGCTGGTACTGTTGTATCCTGAAATATCAAGTTTATTTGGTTGAGGTATAGTAAGTCTGTCCAAGGACTTGAGTATAACATAGGAACAAACATTAGGTCGAATGTTATCAACCTCTTTAGGAGTGGAGAAAATACACAAGTCTTCAACCACCTGTCTGACGAAGAAAACGTGAGGACACAGGTAAGCATATTTGAGTACTGTTCGGTCGGACACTGATACATTGTTAGGTTACTTTTCGAGTTATTTGTGAACCTGGCTGTGGTGTGTAGGACATTGTGAACTAGTCAAAGTTGTTTGTCCAGTCGGAACGGGTGTGATTCGTGTCAATGTGTTTGCGTACAGTTGATTCAGTTCTAGTGAAGTCGGGTGAGATTCACAAAATGTGGACATCGCGAAGTCTGGTGTCTTCATGTTTCTCCCAATCTGGTATTGATTTGCCGTCCTTACCAGGGGGTATTGATCTACCGCCAGTTTTGTTCATTGATCTCAGATATAACCAATGCGAACTTTTTGATTAGCCCTATTTGTGCTCTGTTATATGCCCGAATTTCTCTCGTCAGAGAGGTTCTGATTGAAGAGAGCTAGTATGAACAGATTACGTTTGAAACGTTGACGCAACTGATTGTTGGATCAGGGTGAGCATTCATTTTACATGTCATGGGAAACCAAATCTTACCCTGAGAGTTCTCGTAGTTTTCATTTGAAATGCACTGAGATCAGTCACCACCGTGAGAACGTGTCGGCATTTTCTCGACACTGGTGTATACATAATTGTCACGGTAACGAATCGAGGACGGGAACCTGGTTTGTACGATCTGTCTGTCGGTGCACTTGTAACCCCAATTCTGCATAAATGAATAGACTGTGATAAACGCCGTATACACTGCAGATTGCCTCCGTAGGCTGGTGCTGTCAATAAAGATTTACAAAATTTGCAACTGGTTTTCAACTGTAATCGTTGGGATATGTATTGTGGAACCGGGTTCAGTGATGGTCTGGTGAGATACAACAATATATCTCATTTGTAGAACTGATCAAAGTCCGCAATGGCTAAAATTTCTGGGTCACCTTTCACGTGATTTTCTTAGGTTTTGGGTATAACATTCGTACGGTCTTGAGAATGTTGTTACTACTAAAAGTGCCTTGTGTGAATGATGGACAACCTAGCACGTTAAGGAAATATACGGCCCCGTAGATTAATTCGGCGCGTTGATCGCGGAAAGGGCTTGCTTCAATTTACTAATACTTTTCAACCGCAATTAAATCGAAATCTCTTCTCTATTAAAATTTTTATCCAAAAATGAAAGAGAGATTTATACAACAAACAAATTCTTATGGAAACCTATCCACGAATTGATTAAGTTCAGATGAAGCTGTCAGTTGGCACGAAGGAACGAGATTTACTCAGATAAGATCTATCTGTATTTACTCGAATTTTACTGTATTCATACTCCAATCTGGTGAATATGCTTTTGGACCAATTAAATCAACTGGGAGACATGTGGATAAAGAGACACCACTCTCGAATTTGTGGACTGTCAATGCGGTCCAGACGATGTTAAAGTTGAAGGAATGCAGTCGTACTAGACCACCATCTGTGAGATTATGGAGCTTAGCTTTCTGTCCCATGGATATTCTTAGTGAGGACCATTATACCTTTATCATAAATTCTGACAGATTAGGCTGTTTTCCGACAACCAAAAGTACCCTGGAAGAAACAGTCGCGGGGACAGATAATTTTTTTGAAGTGATTGAAGCACAAAGCGCACAAGTGTTTTCCGATAGTGACTATTCTCTGAGAACAAAATAGCACGATCTAATTTACAGGCCCCGCTTTGTTGATTTTTTGAAATGTTCATGGATTATAGGAAAGTTTGTCTAATTTTATTTGTACTGTTATCCGTCATTATACAACTTAACAGCTAATTCACAAGAAGAGCCTGTTGTCTGAAAACGTAAGGAAGTAGATAATGTAAATTCTCACATGAATAAAAATATAACAGATGAGATTTGCAGCCTGATGTGTTGGTACCTTAAAACTTCAAAAGCGGTAACATTTTCAATTTCATGGGAATAGATGAACAACGACGGGGTGATCTCAAACCAATGACAACGGGATCGATTTCTTGGGTTTTTTTATTGCGTCATCGGGTTATTCGTATGCCAGGGAACTATTACTAAGAATGAAAGATATTCATTCCTGTTTTCTTTTCCCCAAATGTTCTGATTCTACCCTAACTCAACTTTTCTACCTGGAACAAAACATACAATCGTTCTGAGTGCAAGACAAAATTTCTGACTTTCTTTACGAGGAAGAGTAATAGATCAGGAAACTGATTGGCAACTGG